CGTCGACGAACATCCTTCTGGAAGAAACATGACATCTCGGCTCACAAAAGGTATAGAAGTGGGCCGTTGGCTTCAGCGGCCCAACCTCGAGCTGATCGTAGCGAAATTTGAGCCTCAGCCGCAGACGACCAACTCCTTTGATAGAAAAATGACGATCTCGGCTGCCTAAATAGATAGAAGTAAGCGGTGTGTTTGAGCACGCATACCTCGAGGGATTGGTAGCGGAGAACACCCCTCATCCACCCACGACCATCACTTCTGGTAGATAAATAACATATCTCCGCTCCCATAAGGGATCGAACGAAGGGGTTTGTTGGAGCACGCAAATCTTGAGCTATTCCTAACGGAGAGCAAGCCTCATCCACTGACAACCATTCCTTCTGACGGAAAACGATATATCTCAACTCCCAAAAGGGATAAGTTTGTTTGACCATGCAACTCTCGAGTTGATAGTGAAGAAGACCAAGCCTCAGCCACCGACGACCAGTACCTCTCGTCGGAAATCTACATATGTCGGCTTCGGTAAAGGGGAAAAGGAAACATTTTGTTTCATCACGCATATCCTGAGCTCAATTTAAGGGCAATCAAAGTCTCATACACAAGAGCATAGCCATCTTAGAAAAATTATATATATCGGGTCACGCAAGGGTTAGAAAAATCGTTTGTATAAAAGGCCGCCACCGATGTGACCGTTAGCGAAGAAGAAACCAATACATCAACGGCTGTAAGCTTTTGAAGATGATGTGCAATCGCACGATGATGAACATTCGGATAATGTTGATGATGATGATGACGTTTCTTCCGATAATGACGAACATGATGAGTCGGATGCTGATGAGGACTATGATGATCATAAGGAGGATGACGAATTTATGGGCTGATGGCGATGATGAAGTTGCCCACGATGATGATGATGACGAAAGTGATTATAAGGATGAAGATGATGAAGGTAAAGAATATTATAATGATGATGATGATGACGATGATGACGACTTGGATGATGATTTGGATTATGATAATGATGATCATGTAGTCGACGGTGCTGTCGACATTGATGTTGTTGATGATTTTGATGAATGTGAGGAGGCTGATGATGGAAGTGACGATAACGGCGACAACAGCGATGTTGATGAGGATGGTTAGGTCGAACGTGAAGTTTCGCAAAAAAAGGCATATGATGACGAGTATGATGTTGATGGTGATTATGATTCGGATATAGATAATGATGATGTTGATGGCGATGAAGAAAATGACGATGATGACGATAAAGATGATGATGAAGATGAAGCTGATTCGGAAGATGATGACCATGTTGATGATGATGATGACGGTAGTGATGAGTCGGATGACGACGATGTCGGCAATTATGATNGTCGAACGTGAAGTTTCGGAAAAAAAGGCATATGATGACGAGTATGATGTTGATGGTGATAATGATTCGGATATAGATAATGATGATGTTGATGGCGATGAAGAAAATGACGATCATGACGATACAGATGATGATGAAGATGAAGCTGATTCGGAAGATGATGACCATGTTGATGATGATGATGACGGTAGTGATGAGTCGGATGACGACGATGTCGGCAATTATGATGGTGATGATGACTATGACAATGATGATGAAGTTGATGATGGTGATGAAGAGTAGGATGATGATTAGCATTATGTTGATGAAAATGATGATGAAAGTGAAAAAAAGGATGATAATGATATTCGCGATAAGATTCATAACAAACCGCAGCTTGATCATGAAGATGACGAGTATGGTGATGAATGGGTCGTTGATGATGATTTTCAAGAAAATATTGACTTGTCGAATGATGAATATTACGATGAAGTGAATGGCGCGGAAATGACAGTGATGCGGATATAGAAAATGATGATGGTGATGAATCAGGAGATGAAGATAAAATGACCATGTTTACGATGATGTTGATGATGATGATTATGATAATGGTGATGATGATGATGATGATGATGATGATGATGATTCGGAGGATTCGAGTGATTCGAAAGATGATGATGATGGAAATGATGACGACAATGATGAGGATGATGATGATGATCAAGACAATGAAAATGATGAAAAAGACGATGGTGAAGATCAATTCAGAGTTCAAGATGATGATCACGAATGATGAAGATGCTCAAGATGCAGAAGAAAATGATGATGATACCGTTGCTGCCTGATGACTATGTCGACGTTTCGAATGATGACGAATCGGATGATGATAATGATGATGAAGATGATGAGGATGACGATGATGATGATGATACGGATCATGACGATTCATGATGATGATGATTTGGATGATGATGATGAAGATGATGATGATGATCTTGAAGATGATGATGATGATGATTATTGTGAAGATGTTGAAGATGAGGACGATGAGTCGGTTGATGATGATGACGATGATGATGATGATGTTTATGCAGATGTTGAAATTGAGGCAAATGACGATGATTCGATTAACGTTCATGATGAAGATTATGCCGATGAGAACAAATATGATGACAATGGTGTTGAGGACGATGTATATCAAGAAGATGAGGAACACCGTTATCACCCTGATGGCTATTCGTATACAAATGCCAATGTAGATGACCGCAACGATGATGAGTATGTAGATGAGGATGATGAATGCAAAGTGATGAGGACGACGGTGATTAGAAAGATTTTGATGATGATGATGATGATGATGACCATGAAGATGATGTTGAGGACTCGTATGTTGATGTTGATGATGACGATGATGATGATGATAAGGCTGATGATGGTGATGCCGAATTGATTAGGATGATGACGGTCATGAGAAGAATATGATGGTGATGTTTAGGATGATTCAGTTAATGATATCTTGCATGTCGACAAATTTGATGACGAGGAAAATATTGATCCGGATGCTGATGACGATGACGATGATGATAGTTATTTGGATGATGATGACGATGAGGAAAATTATTTGGATGAAAATGCTGAGATTGATGATGCCGATGATGTCCAGGATGTTGAAGATGATCATGAAGATGATGATTCAGAAGTTGATGATCTGTAGGATAATGATGATGATGATTCCGTGCATGATGTTGAGGATGATGATGATGACAATATTTGTGACGAAATCGATGATAATGAAGATGAGGATTCGAACGATCAAGCTGAAGTGGATTATTCGGATGTTGATAATGATGATAATGATGATGACGAAAACAGTGATGAACATGATTCGAATGATGATGATTCGAATGATGAAGATTCGGAATATGATGATAATGACGATGATTCGGAAGTAGATGAAGCTGCTGATGTTTCGGATGATGGTGATCCTGATGCTCATGAGGATGATTCGGATGAAGCTGATGATCATTGTTGTCATCAACCGCGCAATCATCATCAGCATCTTCGGCATCAACAACAGAATCATCATCATCATCATCATCATCATCATCGTCATCATCAGCATCACCCTCATCATCGGAAGCATCATCATCATCATCATCATCATCATCATCATCATCATCCGAATCATCATCATTATCATCTTCATCATCATCAACTGCATCATCATAATCTGAATCGTCTTCCTCATCAACAATATCATCATCATTATCATCATCATCGTCATCATGTACAACATCAACATTAGCATCATCATCCGATTCATCATCATCCGATCCATCTTCAACATCATCAGTATCACCATCACGCGAATAATATTCAAGAGCCTTGTCTGTTTCATCTTCATCAGAATCAGCATCATCGTCATTATAAGAATCTTGATGATCGTCATCCGAATATTGATCATCATCATGATCATCATCAACATCTTCATCATCATCCCGGTCAACATCATTGGAATCATTAACATCGTCGTCCTCATCATTATCATCATTACCATCATTATCCGAATCAATTTCATTGTATCATAATGTTTATCATGATCATTATCCAGGTCCTCCCCATCCATAACAAAATCATTTTTTCATGATCCTTCTATTCACAACATCATTATCAACATTATCATCCGAATCATCATCGCCGAGTCATCAACATCATCATCATCATCGTGAAGATCATTTCTGTCATCATTCCAATCGTCATCATCATAAACCGAATCATGATACTCATCATCATTACCATCCGAATCGTCATTACCATCGTCATCAACGCCCGAATCCTTATCATCACCTTCATCATCGGCATCATAATGCGAATCATCGTCATCATCATCGTCATCATCGTCATCACCATGGTCATCATAATCCGATTCATCGTCTGAGTCATCACCAACATCATCATCATCGGAATAATCCAAATAAACGTCATCTTTCTATTCCTGATCTTGATATTCATCATTGTCATTATCACCATCATTATCGACCTCGTCATAATCGTCATAATCATTGATCCGAATAATCATGGTGATCGTCATTATCTTCATCATTCGAGTCATCATCCGAGTCGTCATCATCACCTTCCAAATATTCAAGTAATCATCATCTCCCGATTAACGATCAGAATAATCATCATCATCATCATCCGCATCATCATCATCAGCCCCATTATCATCACTATCATCATCATCATCATCATCATCACCATCAT